TTGATGAACAATAACAAGCAATCCAGTAGAATATCATGAGCTAAACCCTAAATAGGCCTCTATTGATGAACAATAACAAGTAATCCAGTAGAATATCATGAGCTAAACCCTAAATAGGCCTCTATTGATGAACAATAACAAGTAATCCAGTAGAATATCATGAGCTAAACCCTAAATAGGCCTCTATTGATGAACAATAACAAGCAATCCAGTAGAATATCATGAGCTAAACCCTAAATAGGCCTCTATTGATGAACAATAACAAGCAATCCAGTAGAATATCATGAGCTAAACCCTAAATAGGCCTCTATTGATGAACAATAACAAGCAATCCAGTAGAATATCATGAGCTAAACCCTAAATAGGCCTCTATTGATGAACAATAACAAGCAATCCAGTAGAATATCATGAGCTAAACCCTAAATAGGCCTCTATTGATGAACAATAACAAGCAATCCAGTAGAATATCATGAGCTAAACCCTAAATAGGCCTCTATTGATGAACAATAACAAGCAATCCAGTAGAATATCATGAGCTAAACCCTAAATAGGCCTCTATTGATGAACAATAACAAGCAATCCAGTAGAATATCATGAGCTAAACCCTAAATAGGCCTCTATTGATGAACAATAACAAGCAATCCAGTAGAATATCATGAGCTAAACCCTAAATAGGCCTCTATTGATGAACAATAACAAGCAATCCAGTAGAATATCATGAGCTAAACCCTAAATAGGCCTCTATTGATGAACAATAACAAGCAATCCAGTAGAATATCATGAGCTAAACCCTAAATAGGCCTCTATTGATGAACAATAACAAGCAATCCAGTAGAATATCATGAGCTAAACCCTAAATAGGCCTCTATTGATGAACAATAACAAGCAATCCAGTAGAATATCATGAGCTAAACCCTAAATAGGCCTCTATTGATGAACAATAACAAGCAATCCAGTAGAATATCATGAGCTAAACCCTAAATAGGCCTCTATTGATGAACAATAACAAGCAATCCAGTAGAATATCATGAGCTAAACCCTAAATAGGCCTCTATTGATGAACAATAACAAGCAATCCAGTAGAATATCATGAGCTAAACCCTAAATAGGCCTCTATTGATGAACAATAACAAGCAATCCAGTAGAATATCATGAGCTAAACCCTAAATAGGCCTCTATTGATGAACAATAACAAGCAATCCAGTAGAATATCATGAGCTAAACCCTAAATAGGCCTCTATTGATGAACAATAACAAGCAATCCAGTAGAATATCATGAGCTAAACCCTAAATAGGCCTCTATTGATGAACAATAACAAGCAATCCAGTAGAATATCATGAGCTAAACCCTAAATAGGCCTCTATTGATGAACAATAACAAGCAATCCAGTAGAATATCATGAGCTAAACCCTAAATAGGCCTCTATTGATGAACAATAACAAGCAATCCAGTAGAATATCATGAGCTAAACCCTAAATAGGCCTCTATTGATGAACAATAACAAGCAATCCAGTAGAATATCATGAGCTAAACCCTAAATAGGCCTCTATTGATGAACAATAACAAGCAATCCAGTAGAATATCATGAGCTAAACCCTAAATAGGCCTCTATTGATGAACAATAACAAGCAATCCAGTAGAATATCATGAGCTAAACCCTAAATAGGCCTCTATTGATGAACAATAACAAGCAATCCAGTAGAATATCATGAGCTAAACCCTAAATAGGCCTCTATTGATGAACAATAACAAGCAATCCAGTAGAATATCATGAGCTAAACCCTAAATAGGCCTCTATTGATGAACAATAACAAGCAATCCAGTAGAATATCATGAGCTAAACCCTAAATAGGCCTCTATTGATGAACAATAACAAGCAATCCAGTAGAATATCATGAGCTAAACCCTAAATAGGCCTCTATTGATGAACAATAACAAGCAATCCAGTAGAATATCATGAGCTAAACCCTAAATAGGCCTCTATTGATGAACAATAACAAGCAATCCAGTAGAATATCATGAGCTAAACCCTAAATAGGCCTCTATTGATGAACAATAACAAGTAATCCAGTAGAATATCATGAGGCTAAACCCTAAATAGGCCTCTATTGATGAACAATAACAAGCAAATCCAGGTAGAATATCATGAGCTAAACCCTAAATAGGCCTCTATTGATGAACAATAACAAGTAATCCAGTAGAATATCATGAGCTAAACCCTAAATAGGCCTCTAATTGTGACTCTATAATCAGTAGAATATCATGAGCTAACCCTAAATAGGCCTCTATTGATGAACAATAACAAGCAATCCAGTAGAATATCATGAGCTAAACCCTAAATAGGCCTCTATTGATGAACAATAACAAGCAATCCAGTAGAATATCATGAGCTAAACCCTAAATAGGCCTCTATTGATGAACAATAACAAGCAATCCAGTAGAATATCATGAGCTAAACCCTAAATAGCCTCTATTGATGAACAATAACAAGCAATCCAGTAGAATATCATGAGCTAAACCCTAAATAGAGCCTCTATTGATGAACAATAACAAGTAATCCAGTAGAATATCATGAGCTAAACCCTAAATAGGCCTCTATCGATGAACAATAAACTACTATAGTGCCACGTTGTTTTGGTTAAAGATAAGTTTATTAGAGTCTGTTGAAAGTCCTAGCGTTTCGAGTGAGGCCCTGCAATATTATCATCAGAGATCTCAACAGTCAATTCTAAATCGTTCCACTTTAATATGGTAGCAGAATAAATTTAATTATTTTTAAACGTGTAACTGTCTTTTATAATCTTTTGTGTTCAATTCTTGAGTCTTGTATTGTTCAACCTAAAATTCTGTGTGTTTTCTAGATTTGTTTGGTAAACTGGAAGGAAATTTAAATCAAACGAAAAAGGATTTAAAGGACCAGTTAACTGAAAAAAAAGTTATCCTCATATTTTGACAGATTGTGACAAATAGCTAACTAAGCAACGAGTCGAAATTCCTAAATCTCTAACTGCTCTCTAACGCGTGTAAATAGCGTTTGTATTATTTTGGCGATGACGTCATAAAGTCCCTCTTGCGCGCAGAGTAGCTCGTGAGACTGTATTTTACAGGTAAAAAATGGACATAATACAATCTTTTCCCCCGAATAACTCGAAAAGTAAGTAATTTAGGGTACATGTTGCTTCATAAGTTGTATATAAACATGGCCATTCTGCACAATTTGCACACATTCAAAAACCTTTAGGGCCTTCATAGCCCAATTAACCAGATACCCATAGTTTTGCATGATTTCTGGAACCGAAAATCAGTTTTTCGCCAATAACTGAAAAAGTAAGCACTTTAAGGCATATGTTTGTTCGTAAGTCATATATTAATATGCTAATTGCGGTTCTTTTGCATCCTGTCTGAAGACTCCATCACGATCATATCGAAAATGGGCTTAGCACCACGCCCAAAATGGTTTTTGGCGAATTTATCGAAAAGTAAGGATTTTAGGCCATGTGTTGCTCAATAACTCCTATATAAACATGCATATGCGGCTTCGTTCAAGCCTATTTTGAAGTCTCTACGACCTTCAGAAGCAAGGGGTCGGTTACGTTATTGGGTCAATATGGGCGTGGCCCTCCTGGGTTTTCTCCACGGTCAAAAAAATGTCTCCAAACGAAAATCGTTTAATCATAACTTCGGGAAGGTCTGTGCAAAGTTTCGTGAGTATTAGAACATTTGCAGGTTCATTTCCATAAATGTCCATAAATGACTGGACTACACAACTTTAGAGTTAACTTTAGAGAAACTCATAAGTCATTTATCTCAAATTAAGCTGTTAGTGTCCATGATCAACCTCTGGCGACAATGTTCTACGTGAAATGTAAAAATCAGGAGTAATATAAAAAAGGTATTTTTAGATTAAAGTGCTAGCTCATAGTTTTAGAATTGTATAGATTAACGTTGGTCATTTAGCCATCTAACAATCGATCGTGCCGTAATATATGGCCAGAGAATAATAGGGTCTTGGATCTTCTATAGTTGTTCAGTGGGTCGATCGACTGAACACGTTTGGACTTGGTATTTAAACTTACCAGTAGTTTATTTATGTTATGCACCAATGATAATGCAATTAGGATAACAACTATAGGTAAGCCGGAAGTCTAATTCAAAACACACCTCACACCGTACACACCTCCAATCAGTAATTTTACTATTTGGTAGACCGGGTATTTTGGCGGGAATTCTGTTCCCACGGCACTGTTCTGATAGAAGCTACTTCTACTAATGGTCCCAGAGGAACGGCCGTAAAGTAGCCAGACTTCTTGTCTCCTGTACTGGCAGACACTTGCAGATTAAAGTTAGAAATTTCGCTATGCTATAAATATAATTGCTCTCGGAATTGAACAAACTCCTACTTATCTGTATCCTTTCTAAATTCGTTAGAGTTTCATGGACTGGGGAAAAATAATCGGTACAGTCTCCCTGCTTGTGTAATTAAGCAATGAAAACAATCCAAAATTATCACATATGACATAAGTTGTAATAGCAGAAACTTTCTAACCGTACATTCACCCGCCACTGTTCAAGAACCTATATCACTGTTTAAAATCATGACGTGAGCACTGTACATCCAATCAGCTATTCCTTTAGTTAGGATGATAGCCAAAACTATAAGGATTTTGGAGAACTAGGGTAATAGTCATAATTCTAAAATTTGAGTGAGTTACACGTGTTTTATTGACGATGATAAACATTTATAATGTAAATTACGCTATGCAAGCGCGCACTGAGGGACTTTATGACGTCACGAGGCCACAGCTTATTATTACAATAACACGCGTTACACGTACGCTAGAGAGTTGGTTCTTTCGGCGATACGATTCTTTACCAGTTTGTCACAGCTGATTTAAATCTTAGCCAAATTGGAGACTACAAATTTTTCAGTTAACTGGTCCTTTAACGAATGATCGTAAATTCAAAATTTATAAGTTTTGTGAAGATATTAAATTCGTACCTGCTCCGGCGTTGTGACGTGGTAAAGATTTAAAAGGAACGTAGCCGACTTTCTTGGATCCTAGTCGCCAGACTTTAACAGTTCCGCTACCGTACCCCGCTACCATATACCTGATGAATTAGTTAAGGTTATGTTTTTAAGGGTCACAAAATCAAGGACAAGGAAATCTCTTCAATCAGCGACTTCAGCTATTAGTGCATATAAGGATAAAAGAAGAATTCGCTTTTGAGTGGACAGTAATAAAATTAAAACCTTGCAGAATAAATACAAGCGGTAATCTGACTATAAAACCTATAAAAATGATCATGTATTGGTACATATCGACTACATAGTCAGATAACGCCCACGTGATACTCCACGTGATACGCCCACGTAATAATCTAAGGAGGTACGTGCACTCAGCACCTTAAAAAGTCCTTTTTAAAATTAGAAATACATTGTTTTTAAATAAATCTGAATATAAAACAAACCTGGAGCCCCAATAAGTAGAAACACAGTTGACAAAAGGTGGGTTTATAATGTGTATCCCCTGCTGTTCCGTCTTCTCTGTCAGGGTCTTCAGGGGACGGCTCTTGTACACGTCTCTAGGCAGGTTATTAGTGGTTAATTAGGCTAATTAGGTAATTAGTGGTTAATTATCTTGTTATTAGCAACTTGATACTTTATGACTAACTTAGATTAATTGGAGCATGCTGGTCAAATGATTAGCAACCATAAAATTAAAATAAGTCTAATCATAAGTCTAAACAAGTTTTAAGCAGTGAGAATAACGTGTTAGTTGCTGACCTGTGGTGTATTTTACAGTCCATAAAGTAAAGTAAAGTGAAAGTGAAAGTGAAAGTGAAAGTGAAAGTGAAAGTGAAAGTGAAAGTGAAAGTGAAAGTGAAAGTGAAAGTGAAAGTGAAAGTGACACGTGTTAGTTGCTGACCTGTGGTGTATTTTACAGTCCATAAAGTAAAGTGAAAGTGAAAGTGAAAGTGAAAGTGACACGTGTTAGTTGCTGACCTGTGGTGTATTTTACAGTCCATACCACCTGACACTATCTCCGAGCTCCTGCCTGGTACCTGCAACATTGTCATTACAAGAGAGTAATTAGTGGTTAATTATCTAATTATTTGAACAGAGTACTTCAGTTTCTATTTAAACAGTATTCAGGTACTGTGTGACATTACTGAGACCTTGACATAAAATGTCAACATATTATGTTATGAAATATCTAGAGATGATAGGAAAGTAGAACTAAAGTTTCACTTTCAGATTCTTTCTTTTTTTAACAGAAATTTTCTTGAAAGAATCACCTAATTAAACTCTCAGCTACTAAGAGGAACAATATACTGATATTATCATACCCATTGCATCTTAGTGAAAGGCCAATGAGTGCCAAAACGTCCATTATTTTCATATAGTTTTCACCAATTAATAATTATAAGCCTTGTTCCACTTCGTCTGTCAAGAGCCACGATGCTCCCTACTAAACACTACATACCCATTGCACAGAAGCACATATATTGTCGTGTAACTACTAAACTAAAACACTACATACCCATTGCACAGAAGCACATATATTGTCGTGTAACTACTAAACTAAAACACTACATACCCATTGCACAGAAGCACATATATTGTCGTGTAAAGTGTGTTTACTGACACTACATACCCATTGCACAGAAGCACATATATTGTCGTGTAAAGTGTGTTTACTGACACTACATACCCATTGCACAGAAGCACATATATTGTCGTGTAAAGTGTGTTTACTAAAACATTACATACCCATTGCACAGAAGCACATATATTGTCGTGTAAAGTGTGTTTACTGACACTCTTTCCTTCTGACTTTGTGAGGTCTAAACATATCACTGTACCGTCATCGTCACAAGATACCTGGACAAACAATAACTCGTTACAAGTGTTATGTGACAAAAAGTGACAAAAAGTGACTCAATATGATAACGACTGGTGTGGAATATAACCCGGTTTCAAAACCCCAGCCCAGTCGGTTTCTATGAAACCGACTGGGGCTGGGGTTTTGATTTCCGGATCGAATTCAGCCGGATATCTGATCGGCTCCTACAAGGGACGGTGGAACTAAGGTGGAACTCACCATGTACTGCCCTTTTTCATCTACAGCTACTTGGTTAATCTCTTCCTCGTGATACGCATATGTGTCACACACATCTGGGTAATTATGTGGTAATTATGTGGATAATTATGTGGTAATTATGTAGTAATTATGTGGTAATTATGTGGTAATTATGTGAATAATTATGTAGTTATTATGTGAATAATTATGTGGTACTTTAGGGATTTTCATAATTTAGTAGATACGACAATGTAAGAGATTATTATACGCCACTTCTCCGAAAATCATTTAAATAACAACTAATATGTTTCATGGATAAACTGAAGGGCAAAAAAGGGGCAAACCGTTCAGTTGTCTTTTATCGTAAACAAAGATCTTCTCCCCAAAAACGCAGTAAAATTTAGCAGTTTCCCTAGGACATTTTTGAAAATTAATTTTAAATTAATTTACAAATTGCACACGATATAATTACGATTAAAGATCTAAACTTATAGATCTAAACTTGAATTAGAGAAAAATATTAGCTTTAAAAAATCTTAGTTGTCCAGCATTCAACGAAAATTTGATATCGTCCAATCGCCAGTTCATTATCTTAAATGAATTCGTTTTTAAAAAAGCCAAAGTTTGTCAAAATATCCACGGTGTTATACTTGCCAGACAATTCATATTATTACGAATTATTCTTGTCACCACAATTATTTGTGAGGTTATGTTAAACTATTTAAACCTTTTGTGGCATATTGCAATTGTTGAGCTGAGAATTGCCATTATACTGGTGTTACAATAAAACTCATAAAGACATGCATAAACATACAGGTGTTTTTATAAAGATACTTATATACCGGCCGTTTTTTAATAGCGGGATATGTTAAACTTTTATTAATAGTCTGCATAATGGATAGGTATTCAGGCCAAACAATAGTTTGCATAATACTATTTTGGATTTCTTCGGGATATTTGGACGGCAGACTTGATCATGAGATGCATTATTGCGGCGATTACTTAGAATTCAACACGTACATAGTTAATTAAACATTCTTGTAAGCGGTGAATTTCAAAGTTGCTGATTATCTTTAATTCTTTAATTGATCCAGTTAATTTCCAGGAATGAGACACAAGTATATGGCAACTACTTCTATCCGATGCTTGATAAAAATGAGTAACAACATTATATATAGCATTTTCCTTGCAATCTAGTGTAAATAATAAGATAACAGAACCATCATTAAAATACAAGAGCAATACTTGATTTTATTCTTATAATTAATTGGGGGATGTTTTCCAGGTTTTTATCTGGTATCTTTATCTTCGTAATTTAGTTTATGATAAGAGATATTGGTAGAAAATTCATATAAAGTTTTGATATTTAGTTATTTGGTTCAGGGTTAAAGATAGACTTGGGGCCGTTGTTTTTTAAACTATTCACGTTTAGAACCTCTATTTATTTTATAAATCTTTTCTTCCACGTAGCTAAAAAAGTAGTTGAAGGCATTTGAATTTCAACAATGTTGCATTTACACTGCCGTGGTTCTGGAATTATCTCTTCGTTTTAGTTAAAAAATATTTCCTCTGCCGGTAAGTAAATTGGGGATGCATTTGTCTCTGTGGTTGCTCTCTGTGTTTTCTGTAGCCTTGCGGCTTGCTTTCGAGTGCAGTGATTAATTATAGTTGAGTATTCAAACACGATAGCTGTTGAAAGCTATAATTATCCACATTCTCCAGTCGCAAATAAACGGCTGTCGCGAACGCCGAATTGAAATAATATGAGCAAAATACTCACACAGTATTGTAAGGAAAATTGGGCGACGGCGCGCGCGCGCGTCGTACGGGTATAATAGCGGGTACCTGATTTTGTAATTATTATGGAGTCAATACTACCGTGTAGTGCTGGCCAGTGGGTGTAACTGTAATCCTAATTTGTGCACTGTTAACTGCATGTTAAAACATTCCCATATTCTGTCTTAGGTTGGTAAACCCCAGGTCTGATATACTACGTGTACGCATTTTATTAACAGTACCGTTCAAATATTACTTTTGCCATATTTATTATTTAAGACCCTCCCCTCTCTGCTACGCACACTTTACACACAACTATTGACAGAAAATTAAACTAGCAACGAAAATAACTGAACTTCAAATCTAAGAAATCAGCTAGGCCAGTAGAGGTCGTGACTCGTGTCCGAACTTTATCTAGGGGCGTGAGAACTTCTATATGGGTCCTGGACCCAATTTCTCTAAGGTAAAAGTCAAGTTATGTAAAAGTTACCGTAAGAATCGCCTTAGCTTCACTGTAAATTAATATTTTTTCTGACTATTGTATAACGTAAAACTGTAAAAGTATCCAACACAGATACGTGACATTAAAACATCAGCAATATTCTTTTGATTTATTGCATCCAGACTTTTTGGTAAGCTTAATAGCAGCGTCAGAATTAATGGGAGTTTTAGTCTGGATTATTGTGGTTCATTTTTGTAAAGTATGATCAGAATAAGAGTAGTTTTAGTCAGGATTATTGTGGTTCATTTTGTAAAAGTTATGTATCAGGAATAAGAGTAGTTTTAGTCAGGATTATTGTGGTTCCCATTTTGTAAAGTTATGATCAGGAATCAAGAGTAGTTTTAGTCAGGATTATCGTGGTTCATTTTGTAAAGTATGCATCAGGAAAATGATCACCCCAAACAATGAGCAGTCCCCCAACCAAGGTATCTAATACGCATCATCACCGTAACACCATCTCTCCTCTTCTTCTGTATCCTTCTTTTGTTTCTCCCTGGTGTTAACTACCAACACATTCCAAAAAGCATCATGCACTTGTCCCCACACAAACTGTCCGTGGCTTCCACCGCAAATGAGCGGGTTTAATCCTGTAACCCGCGTTAACATCTCACCGTTATAAGTTTAAACATCACGAGATAGATATATCGGCCAGTTAGAGGGGGAACGTCAGCTACAATGACATCGCCATTCTCATACAGGGAAGGCAGCACAATGTCCGGTAGTTTGTCCGGGCGGAGACCTCATCCGAACAACAAAGTTAGGTTTCCCGTTCACGCGCTAACATAATGCGGACATTAAACTAAACGTATGAGTAAGAACACGTAATTATACACATTATACCTAGCATTATGCCTAGCATTATACCTAGCATTATACCTAGCATTATGCATTATAAACAGCTTTGCGGTGGAACACTGTAACTTATTCCATGTGGGGTGGGGTGATTTCAAGTGAAACTGGTAACTACGTGGAACTTAACGCTTGTTGCAGGATCCGAGCCACTTACACAGCTATAGGTCATTTATGTGACCTTGTGTCAAGATCAGGTATTTTAAGTGCGATATGATTATAATACAATAAACTTATACACATAATAGTTAATTCAGAGCGTGAATATATCTTTATATATATTAGTCCTCCTCGTCAGTATATTAGTTCCCTTTAATTGTAAAACCTATTAAATTTAAAGCACAGCCATACAATTATCTACAAATAAAAGCTAAAATAACTTAATATAATATAACAACAAACAACGTTTATAGTTACAAACGACAGATTTACAAATTTATCACGTACGTAATGCAACTTAAAGTCACCGTATAAAAGTTAGAAACAAGCAAAAAGAAAGTTATCTATTTTAAATTTTGTTCATTATAAACTTTCATGATCATTAGTGCTCTGCTAAAACGACCCACACTCCCCTGTCTGATATTTCACCAGGTGCTGGCACTCTGTCCTATTATAACTTAGAGTTGGTCTAGGCTCCAGATCGTTTCGTTGAAATGAGACACTTATCTTCACACAATTTTTCTGTGAAATTTCATCTATAATGGCTTCTGGAATTGTATGAGAATAGTCTCTATACTCTTTTGAGGCTTTGTAAACAATATCGGAACATTTCCCTTCTACCCATTCCAACAAAGCATCTAGACCTTTGTTAGTCTACTGTCAGTCACAGTAACTGTATGGTAATATGCAGGTAAAGAAACTTTTGTTTTGGCTAGTGTTTCTCCGGCAATCATCGAAGGGTGTGTTGTAAATGTAAGGAAGCTGGCTGTTACAGCAAACTGGAATTTGCCTTTTTTCGGGTTCAACAAACTGCTTTAACTTCTTTACGGCAAATTATTAATGCGTTTGTTCTAAAAATTATTGATGGTACAATTTTTTCAAACTAAAACCAGAAACTGTGTAGATTAGACCGTCACCAGTGTATCCTTTTTCCAAAACAAAAATAAATGCAGATATCAATTTAAATTACCGTTCTCTATTGCATGCAAAGTGATGCCGAGAATGAAATCGGTCACTCGCTTTTCACATTCATCGAAATCACGAATGAGTAAAATTCGCACCTTTCGCACGTGCGAACTTTAGGCGAAAGTTGCGTGCGCATCCTTTTTTTTTCTATTTTTTTAATGAATAAACTTTCAAAATGTTTACAAATACATCATTTTATTTCAAAGAAAATTCGCCGAATGACCTTACATGCCTTGACAAGTGACCGAGTGTAAACAAAATTAGGGACACAAAAACACCAGTTGACCAGTAAACTGGTCATAGCAATTACATCGGGCCCTACATGCACCTATAAGTGAAGCGATGCTGCAACCAAGGCATGCTATGTTTATTCCAATGGACTATAAATAAGGTTACAGCCTAAAATATAAATATAATAACAATGTACCATAATTATAAATACAATTTATAAAACATATTTTATTAATTACATATTTTATTAATTTGATATTTAGATATTATAGTTAATTTAAAGATAACAAAACTTTTCAATTATAAAAATATATAATATCTTTATCTATGAGTATTGCTGAAAGCACAGTGTAAGGCCTACACGGACCTATAACAAAAGATTATAATTACTGATTAAGGAATAAGGATTTGTGGCATTTGTACGGGGTTGTAGAGTACAAATAAAAAATATATAATTCGTGAGATTAATGCCAGGAATGCGCACAGATCCCTAATCAGTAAAATGACAGTGAAATTGTGCAAAGGTGTTTAGCATTGTAAAACCGCTCGAGGTTAATCATAATTCGTCTTGATAGTAAAGTATTGTTTCGTTATTGTTATCAAAGTTTGTGTGTCGGATCATCGTGAAAGTTTAGGATATAAGGCATCATGGTTTTAGGTTGGTATTAGGAATCCTGGTCATTGGTAGAGAAGTAACGTATATGCATATTGTTTTACCTGAGTGAAACGAGGACGACATAAATTGTTCAATTGTCAGAAGATGTTATAAGTTTTAAACACAGATGGCCTTGAGATTTCCCTTAATTCATAATAAGGGAGTTTATTCCAAAGAATGTGTGCTCTGTAAATATTGAGTCATCGAACAAATTTTGATTACAAATTTTCGGACGTTTAAACTACAATCGAGAGGCAAAGCGTCTATCTCTAAATACATACACCACAGTGCTGGCAAGCACGACCGTGGACATTTACACCCTAAGATGAAAGTGTAATTTATCCATAAACCTAACATCATTATCAACAACAGGGTTTCCAGAAAACCCACTTCTTGATGCTTGAAGTTTTACTTTACTTCAGTATTAACATGCAGTTCTTGAGAAATCTGAATATAGCGATTTTGGAGTTTTTTTACAAAATTTCGTATATTTATATGTATTTCGGTATAAGACTCTTATTAAAAGTACTTGAGATAAATTTCAAAAAAATCTAAACATGACTATTTTTTATTCCTGTCATCTTTAACACCGAGATCACCGAGACTCACATGCCTGGATCTGGCACCACT